AGACAGACAGACAGACAGACAGACAGACAGACAGACAGACAGACAGACAGACTTATGTATAAAGGCATGTAACGGCATGTATACCCACATATATACATACATAGCTATGACCCAATAAGAATAAACTTTTGTCACTGTCTAATCCTGTTAACATAGTTAACATGTTCATAGTTATACAATTTCATACAATTTTTTACAATTCTGCATTCCAAAAAACCTCTGTGAAATGCAACGTTATCCACTGTTTTCTGAACTAACTGGGAATTGTTAAAGATACATTAGTTGGGTTATGCTATCAATATTGTTTTTGTCCAGAATGCTTTCTCCCCTCCCCCCCCCAAAAAAATAAAAAGGCAAGGAAAGGTGGTAAGTCTTTTTAATTGGTTTCCATGACTTGGGAACACAGCTGTGTAAGAGCTAATTACTAGGTATGGCTAGTATTGTCTTATTCACCACCATCCATAAGACTTAATTAAGCAAAACAAAATAGGAAAAAGATATGATTGTTTCTAGAGGCGTGCCTAGCCCTGGAGATTATATATGCCGCTTTGGTGACTCATTAGACTGGAAAGGTCTTGAAGATTTATAATAATTTTAATCTTTATTTCAGAAAGGTTGCAATCATAAATATATGAATGAATTACACATGTCATACGGAGCTTGTACCAACTGTATCTTATTAGTCAATACTTTCATTTATATTTAAAGCAGTTATTACAGGCAGTTGTCCAATGTATACTTGATTCAATTTGCTGTGCCTGGCAAACATGACATTTTCTGGTTACATTATCTACATTTATACTGAACAAAATGACCTGATACTGATATAAATGGTATCTAATTTTTCTACTGCCCCATCTATTCAACTAGCAATGTCTGCAAAGAATGGGGGGGCAAAGATGTAGTTGTAGCAATGCAGCCAAGGCCCTGTGTGTGCAAAACGTGCACAAGAACTTATTTCAATCACATTCCTGCCAACACTACAGGTAGTCCTTGACTTATGACCACAATTGGGACTGGAATTTTGGTTGCTAAGAAATGTGGTCATTAAGTAAATCATCATATGACCGGAGCCAATTTTATGACCAATTATACCATGGTCTTTAAGTGAATTACCACAGGCATTAGGTGAATCCAGCTTCCTCTATTGATTTTGGTTTTTGAAACTGGTTGAAAAGGCCTCAAATTGTGATCAAGTGACACAAAAAGCTTGAAACATTGTAAGTTGTAAGCCAATTGCCAAGTGCCCAAACTTGTGGTCACATAACTGGTGTCTATGTGTGTGTGTTTGTGTTGTGTAACAATCGCAGCTCCAAGGACAGGCTGTAAAGTCACTTTTTCTGAAACCATCATAATTTCGAACCAGCATTAAACAAACAGTTTAGTTGAGGACTACCTGTATCTTGCCTTTTTTATTATCCACATACCACCAACCCCAGATGCTCCTACATCCAAGCTTCAGAGTTGGAAGTTAGTCAGCTAAGTCTCTTATGTACACATTGCTTCAATCCCTCTTCCTTGACGAAGGTGAGATGATCTCAGAAACTGTGTCAGAAGGAGTAACAGCCCATTATACAGTATTGCAATGAAGGAAAGACTTCTAAAACTGAGACGAGATAAAAACTGAGTAAGCTAGGTGATAGATTAGGAGAGATTTCTAAATCTAGGACTATCAGATTTGGGCTGCAAAAATTCGAATTACCATACTTAAGAGTTTTCTAAATCTCTTTGATTCATTTGAATTTTTGTAGCCCAAATGAATGAATACAAATGAATGAAGGAAACATATTGCTCCACCCAATATTAGCATCTAATCTAATTGATAAATGGGTGATGTTTGCTTTATGTGTTTAGACGAGCACTATCAGCCTCTGAAACCTATAGTCAGAAATAAAAGTCACAACAATGCATAAATTTGTTTTGAATAAGGTTAATAGGATGCTTCCACAATATGAACAAGTAATCAAGGGGATTGGTTTAATAATAAATAATAGCCCATTTAATTACTCATTGATACTGTGGAAACATCCTATTTTCTAATCCTAGGAAAAAAAGGAGTAACTGATAGTAATGGTATTTCTTGATGTTGTGCAAAATAATTGTTTTTCATAGTAGAACTTTGACATTTTTAATATTTTGCATTGCACTTGTTAGTCTTTGAAGTGGTACACAAAGAAAATATTATTTCCCATTTCCCAAGGAGCTATTTGTTCTCTGATATTTATGTAACATTTTTCCTATAGGTTTATGAAATACTGAAAAGAACTACATGCACCAAAGCCAAGTATAGCATGGGTAAGAAAATGTATTTACATTTCAAATTAGTCTATACCCTAGCTTTCAGAATGTTTTTAGTTTATGCTTCAAGAGATTGTAAGTTTTTACAACTTTCCAGAAGAAGCTGAATGCAATATATAGTAGATGGTGACCTGCTTCAAGATGTTTTGTGCAATGATTTTTAGCCCACAATATATATACACAAGATTTTGATAAATAAAAGAATTTCTTATAGATATAATCATTGTTTGCATGTATCTGTTAATAGAAATTTTATTTATAAGAACCATTGCCCAAGACTGTTGGATTTGGTCCTGTCATACAAATATATGTGTTGTATTCCATTCCATGTTTACTTAGAAGCAAATGTCATTTGTTTTCACTAAATCTAGAAAGTATGGGGAAAGCTTCTAGATCTAACCTGTAAAATCTACCTGATGGAAGCAAAGATACATTTATTCTAATACAGTGGCTCTTTGGATTTTTGCAACCCAGATTTTGTGACTGTAATTTAGCTCCAGTATGTGACTTTTCTTTTTAAATTTCAGTATTACCTTATTTTAATTTGCACTATGTAAAAGAGCTCTTTATGAGTAAATAATTAAATGAAAACAAGGGAAACTGAATTAATGCTATTTGTATATGAACGCATGTATAGGCAGAAAAACAGGGATCCACTGTTTTTTTGAAAACGAAAGGCAAATCAAGTTGATTGTATTAATTCTGGTGTAAAGTATGTTATGTCGTCAACCTATATCACTACTGCATGTATATTTGGATATACATGGACTGATCCTTTAAAGATATTTTGGAACAGTTTATTGTTTAACATAAAAAGAAGAAATACAATAAAAAAATCTTTTAAAGGGCATAATGAATTAAGAAAGAAAAAACTTAAATCTGATGTCACACATGCTGAATTTTAATCATATATTTACATCTCATCCGAGAACATTGTGTCAGCTCTATTCCTTGCATTCTGAAGAGCTTATTAATTATGTGGCCCCATTAAACAGTGTTTTTAATTCAATATATTGTTGTGAGAATGAAGACCATGCAACATTTCAGACTCAAAGCAAAAGGCATTTAAGAACTTGTGGAACCTGTCTGTAGCTCCTTAAAGCAGATGCAGCTTTTCTAGGGGCTGCGTGACTGCCCTCTTCAGCTTTAGTATGATCCCAGTAGAAGTCGTTTCTGGTTTAAACAGTTGTAAAAAGATGCTGCATATGTACTTATGCATGCAGAAATGTATTTTTCCCTTTGAATCCAAACCTTTTTGTAACCATAATTTTCACAACTATATTTTTTTTTAAATAAGGTTAGGATGGCTGTACCTTTTGCCTTCACATTTAAAGCACTAATCTGCCCTAGTGCAAATCATTATTTACATTTGCTGACTGGCTTTCATAACTTCAAGGCATTGCGTTCTGATTTTTTGTATGTACAGCAGCTTTTCTTCCATAGTAAGTTGCTGTGAACACTTTGCAGGAAATACCTAGAGACATGTCTCTGCATAAATGCATATTGCATTAGATATGTTATTAAGGAAAGCTGTAGAGTTAAATTTTTATTTATTTTATTTATTTATTTGTATCCCTCCTTTATTATTTTGACAAATAACTCAAGGCGGCAAACATATCCAACACACCTTTCTCCTCCTCTTTTCCCAACAACAATAATCTTGTGAGGTGGGTTTGACTAGCCCAAAGTTACCCAACTGGTTTTCATGGCTAAGATGGGACTTAAACTCACAATCTCCTCCTTTTTATCCTGGTGCCTTTACACTAGATCAACTTGGCTATCCATTGTTGTGCTGATCTATTGCAGTAAAAGCTATAAAGATTTTAATGAGTTGAAGGCAAGTGCTGTGCAGCAATTTAGATTCAAACGACCAAATGTGTGTATTTGTTGAGAGCACTTTAAGCAAAACACAGTTTTTCTACCCATGCAATTAAAGAAAAGGAGATTGTTCCTCTTTTTCTGACAGGTGCTATTGTGTCCACATATGCTCCAAATTACATTTCATACCTATCACATCGGATTGCTACAGGCGTGTAGTAATTTGGTTCATCTAGGTCTAGGATATCATTCCTCAACCTGGTGCTCTCCAGATTTTTTGGATTATACCCAAATACCACACAGACCAGGAAATACGGCAATCATAATTTTGAGTTATGTAGTAGATCACTTTCTAAAACCATTGCAGTCATTTACTGAACCTGTTGAATATGGGAATCAACCCACACTTTTTAAATCTTGGATGGTATATTAGAAAAAGGATATTTTCTGCGGCATGAAAAATCAAGATCAAGGAATTCATGCCTTCTTAGCACAGAGCTGTTTCGTAGCATTTACCAAGCAGTTTGCGATTATGATTATAAGCTAAGCTAATAGGCATGGTTACATTAATAAAGGAACTCCTTTCTCCAGATTTGTATATAGGGAAAACTAATTTTTTAAAAAATAGCTTGCATGTAAATGGATCTTACATCTCCTGGAATGTATTTGTATTAAAAAAAGTATGAATGCTTGCAGTCTGTTAACATAAATAGTAATAGTAATTATTGGTTAGAAGTAATGATAAACTATTTTGAATGCGCCAAGATACAGATGTGAAATGGGGTCTGTAAAGCTCATTATCTCCAAACCGACCTAAGACACCTCAAGAGTTCTGTTTTCAAATAATTAGTATTTTACCCTCAAATGAATAGACTAGCAGCTTCAGTATGGGAAGAGGAAGATTATACTGTACATGCCATTTGTTTGGACTGTTGTTGGTACTTGGACAATCTGTAGGTCAAAATGTAAATGTATAGTTTCAAGCTTTTAAGACTCAATGGAAGAATTTAGTTATAGCCTGTGTGTGCTGCAGGTAGGACTATTATGCTCATGATGTTTAACAAATGAGCAGGATTGGCTTTTCTGCTTTTATTTTTTTACAACAGGATCTAGACTTCTGAGAATTACCTTGTTTAAAAACAGAGCAGCTAATCTTCGTCATTTTAGAGACCCAGTTTTATATATGCCACTTAGAGCCACAAACAGCAGGATATTCCAGTACGCTTGAGAAAATAAAACTGATTATCTTACGGCTAGATAGTTCTGTATGACTTTGCTATTTAAAATATTATAAATATATATTGGCAGACAATTTAGAGTGAGAAATTCACTTAAGGTTGCTGCTAATGTTGATAATAGACTAGTTTGTGCATGGATAAGTGCTCCTTTTTATATTTCAATTCTGTAAATAATTTCAAAATCAGTTGCGCTGATCATTTCATTTTCTTAAAAAGCAAAGGCAAAGTTTTGGTATTCCTAGTAACTTTTTTGTGGAATATCACAATTGTCTGATAGATTATGATCAGGAGAACATAAATGTCTTCTAGAACATTTGGCAACAATAATGAATAGGAAGCTAGCCCAAAATACAACTGGAAATGTTACAATGCTGCATTCAGAAAAAATAATTATAGTGAAGTTATTTGTTTGTTAAGACAAATTTTGGGTTTTAAGGAAACTGAAAACATTTTCTCAAAATATTATTTAACAAACAATGGTATATACCCTTTTGTATTCCTGTCCAGTGCTTTGTTTTATTCTTTTTTATATGGTTTTACTGATTAGATTAAAGGCAGTGTTCGAAATAGGCTATCAGGAACCTCAAGCATGTATACCTAGGTAACATAATCCCTTCAAAGTTTGTTAGGATTCCCATATTAGAAAGCTGCTATAATGGGGAAAAAAACCACATTTAGGAATAAAATATAGCTTTCAAAAATTTATAGACAGCTGGACTATGATCAGCTTTATCAAAGCACATTCTCCATTCACTACAAAATCTCAGCATCTCCCAGTGTGTCTAATCTTATTTAATTCCAAACTAAAGATGATTCCTCTGAAGGAATGCTATACATTTCCCAGAGTCTCCAGTCGCACAAGCCTTGTAATTGCTCAATTATATAACTAATAGACAAATGTGTAAACAGGGAAAGGAGAGGGAAGAAAGAAGGACACTACCCTTTTAAATAAAAGACGAAAATGTGATAAATATGGTAAGTATGATGCCAAGGCCTTTCCAAGGGCTTTCCAAATAGCTTCTCTAATCAAGCTTAAATCTGATTTTAAAACTCTTCTGTGTGAGTGTGTGCGTATGGTTTGCATGAGGATGTGAGTGGGGATGTGCTCAATCCAAGCTTTTTCTTTCTTACAATCTCGCCTTTTGCTACCCTTTCAAATCTGTGGGCTTGCTTTTCAAATCCAATTTAAAGATTCAAGGTAGGCAAGTTATTATACTGATTAATTTGAAGTTCACTGGCTTCCTCTCTTGATTTGAAATTCATGATTTCTGATTCTCTCTAGATTTCCTTTTCTTGATATCAACCCACTTTATAGTCCATACAGTTAAAAGATATGGAATCAAATCAGATTCATGCTTTAATAAAATGATGGAAGTCTTGAGAGGGAAATCTCCACAAATGGAAAGTGAGGGTATCACTTGAGGGAATTCAGTTGTGGGGATATAAATAGGTATTTCTTCTTGTTTTTTCAGGGATCACCAGTCTACTTGCCAATAGTGTTTACAGTGCTGCATATCCCTTGCATGATGTAAGTAGTCTTGAAATATATTTGGTGTTTCTAGAAGATGATACCAAGACTCCCTAATGCATTAGGTATGAATGACGCCATTCTAAACATCTTCAATATTTCATGAGCCTCATAGCCAGCTGTACATTTAGATTAAAAATTAGCAGTTTGTTTAAGAATCTGCCAACTTGTTATGGCTTTAATCCCAAACTGAATTTCTTTTCATTTTACATGAAATAGAACTTTATAATCAACTCAGCAAATATTCATTTTAATTTTCTGCCTTCAAGATGTACCGTGTTTTCCCCAAAATAAGCCCTACCCCCAAAATAAGCTAAGACTAGTTAAGACTCCACCTGTCTCTTCCTTTCACTCCCCTTCCGAGCCAGACTGCTGGCACTTTCGGCCCTCTGGCCCCCTTCGCAGCTCTGCCCACGCAGCCACCGAAGCTGCTGGAGAGAGGCGGGCCCCTTTCAGTGTCTGGTGCCCTTGGGGGGTTTGCCTTGCCACCTGCTTTTCAGCTCCATCACATTTCTCTGTCGCTGCGGAGTTGGAGAGCTTGCCGCACCACCGCCCAGATGCCCTCACTTCCCCCAAGCATTTTTCGCTAACCTGATTTCCAGCTCCATCACATTTCTCCATTGTGTTTCTCTGCCGCTGCATGCAAGGAAACAAAAGAAGTTTGTGGGACAAAAAAAAAGTTCAATAAGACCTTCCAACTACTCGCAAAAAAAAAAGATCTCACAAATTTGCAAGGTCTGATTGAACTTTTTTTTTTAGTCCCTTAAACTTCTTTTGTTTCCCTGCACGCAGCGATGGAGAAACACAGTGATGGAGAAATGCGATGGAGAAACGCGATGGAGCTGGAAATCAGGTTAGCAAAGAAATGCTTGGGGGAAGCGAGGGCATCTGGGCGGTAGTGTGGAGGCTCTCCAGCTCCACGCCAGCAGAGAAATGCAATGGAGCTGGAAAGCAGGTGGCGTGTGGGGCAGATCAGGGGGATCTGCCAAGCCTCATGACAGCGGCAGTGGTGCGCGCAATGCACAACGCGGCATCCTGCCACGAGCGGGCACAGACCAAGTGGGGTGTCGTGGGAGGCCTGGCTACGGGAGCCTGCAGCATAGTAAGTAGGGCGCGTGGGGCAGATCCCCCCTCACCTGCCAAGCCTCATGGCAGTGGCACCATGCTGCCATGTGCAGGCGAAAGTGGTCATAGAAGAAGTGGGCGGTGGCCATGTGGGACGCCACCGTGAGGCGAGACAGATGTGGGAGGAAAAAAATAAGGCATCCCCAGAAAATAAGATTAGTGCCTCTTTTGGAGGCAAAAAATAAATAAATAAAAGACCGGGTCTTATTTTAGGGGAAACACAATATATATCCTACCTACCTATCTATCTTCTGATTTAAATATATCAAATATCTTTTTATGCTTATAAAGGTTTGGATGGCGATAGACTAGGAAGATATGTTAACCATTCAATTTATTTTCTATTCTGGCTACATATTAAATGATTATATTTTTGCATGCAGAGCATTCTTTTGTGACTTTTTATATACAAAATATAATATAAAAATGCAGGTAGTTTTCAATTCTGGCAGATTCTTAGTCATTAATAATATGCATTTATATGGTGGATGTTTATGATGATACTTTAAAACTCAGAGTCACCTTATTGGGAAGATGGGCAGTATTAAAATTTAAATAAATAAATGAGCAAATAAATAAAATGTTTTCTTTAAAAGTGACAATTTAGTCAACGTCGTGCTTGAAAAATGAATGTTAACACAAACTTTTAAAAAATAACTGCTATGGTCTAATAACACAAATCTTATGTTCTTAAAGCTACATCTAGTCAATCATAAGATTTAGAATAAAATATTCTGAAGGAAATATATTTTTCACTCCTTCTGGACCCTTGGATCATTGTTAGCTTTTTGTGGGAAACACTGCTAGATACAGATAAAATATATTCCAGCTTTAGGTATTCCTTGTGAAATAACATCATTTTTCTTTTTCTTAAAGGGTGATTATGAAGGTGAATATATTGAGCCTAATGACAGAAAAGTAAGTTGATATAGGGGAGCACAAGCATGTTCAAGTGTCAACTTTAAGAATCATGTGTTGTGATATAGACAATTGCCAATATTTTAGAGAAAGGCAGAGATATTTAGAAGTGCTCTTTTAAACTCTTGTATTAACTGTAGCAGGACATCCTCTGTAGATGCAGGCAGACATCAGTTATTGAAGAATTTACAATCACAGACCAAAAAGAAAAAAAGGAAAATCAACATGCAGTCTATCCCATATATAAACTTATTCACAGCAAAAACTATGTATGCCTCTGTTGTTCCCAACGGGTTCTGACCACCCTTGCTGTGGCAAGAATTTGGTCACTTTCTTAGAGACTTCACATTATTGGGTATTTAATAGGAATCACATAGTTGCCTATTGGGACTGGTTTGATCATTTGACAGGTGAGGATAGATTATCTCCACCTCCCAAGGAATGGCTTTTCAAAGGTGTGCATGCAACTGCCTCAATTTTAGTCATAAGCATTTTGAATAGGAGTATTATTGAATCTCCTGGTGAATGCCATTGAAGGCAGAGCACTTAAGTGTGACTGTGTGAGTGCCCACCTCTATAACGGCACAAGCGTATCAAAAAGTATGTGGTGAAAAGTGATACCTGAGCTCATAGTAGTAAAGGTGCAAGGCTTACTGTAAATCTATCCCTTTATATATCATTTAGAATCATATCATAGGGCCAGAAGGGACCTTAGAGGTCTTCTAATCCAACCCTTGCCCAAAGCAGGATTTCTTATACCATCCCATGAATGTCTAATCTTTTCTTGAAAACCTCCAGTGATGGAGCATTCACAAGACCAGAAGGCAAGCTATTCCACTGATTAATTGCTGTCACTGTAAGGAAATTTCTCCTTAGTCCCAGGTTGGCTCTGTCTTTAATCAGCTTCCACCTGTTGCTTCTGTCCTTAATTTATGGCCTCAGACAGCAATGGGCATGACGTTAAGATTGAACATTCTCTGGTTGATCTTACTCCAAGCTTTGGCTAAGCTCAGCATAGATCAGGATTGTGAGATAAGCACATAACAGACTACACTGGATGCTACCTACTTTTTCAGTGGGGAATTGTACTAGTACAAGTTGGATTAGAACTTGTTGATGGGTTTGTTTAAGCCAAAACTTTAAATGGGAGAGTCAAGTGCATTTGCAACAATAAGAGGAATTCATAGCAGAGACCTCACAAATTTGGACTAAACTGCTACTGGCACAACCCTGGAGGCCGTAAGGGTCTGGATGGGGAGGAACAGACTCAGGCTCAACCCTTCCAAGACCGAGTGGCTGTGGCTGCCGGCGCCGCGGCATAGTCAGCTGACTCCATCGCTGACTATAGGGGGCGAAATTCTGGCCCCCTCGGAGAGGGTGCGCAATCTGGGGGTCCTCCTGGATTCGCGGCTGACACTGGAAGACCAGTTGTCGGCCGTGACCAGGGGGGCGTTTTATCAGGTACGCCTGATCCACCAGTTGCGGCCTTTTCTGGACCGNCTGGAACGAACTACCCCCAGAGATCCGGGTGATCCCGGATCTCCCCTCCTTCCGCCGCGCCCTAAAGACATGGCTTTTCCAACAAGCGGGTCTGGCCTAGGGAATTTTAGCGGGGCTTTTTAGGGGATTTTTAAGGACAATTTTAATGATCGGCCTGTTTAAATATTTCTTTTTAATTCGGCTTTTAATTATTGTATTTATATTGTAGTTTTTATGAGGCTGTTAGCCGCCCTGAGTCCCATGAGGAGAAGGGCGGGGTATAAATTAAATTAATAAATAAAATAAATAAATTAATAAATACTAACAAAGAAAAACAGGAAGATAGACAGTGGCTTCAAATATGTTATTCTGGAATTCAAAGCAGGTACTGCCAGGCAAATTCAAGTACCTGATTGTGTCATCTGCATTCCTTCCCAATTTACCTTTGGCTCTTACTAACTAATTCCTGTATAATAAATATAGATCAACAATATAATTCATGAATGGTATATTATACAGACAGCACATTTTTAAAGAACTTTACAGATTCTGGCTTGTAGAAATTTTATGTGATGCCAGTTCAGAAGGCACAATGATTTTTAGATTTTGCTGAAAAAGAATCATAGTAGCTACCCACTGTGGGTGACCAAATGATTGCATCCATGTCCATCCTGTGGAACAGCATCTCCCATAGAGCTCGATGACCCCATCCTCCTTAGTCCTTTGTGGGGCTCTGAAAAAGCAGGTAGGTAAGCACTTTTGGTGACATGCCTTTTATTTTGGGGATTATTATTTAACTGTGGTGTCATGGGTTTATATTGCTAGAATGGTTTTAATTTTTGCCTGCCACCCAAAAACACTGCTGAGATGGGTGGCTCTATAAATTGAATACATACATACATACATACATACATACATACATATCTTTGCATTCAAAAATCTGATCAATCTATTAGATCAGACATGTCAAACTCGCGACATCACGTGATGTCACGTGACTTATTGGAACTTTTCCCCCATTGTCGGCAATGGGGTAGGCGCGGTTTCATCATGACGTGTCCGGCCCGGGAGCCGGCAGTTTGACACCCCTGTATTAGATAGAGATGAAGAGGGAAACAACTATCACTTGTTCTATGTTGCAATCACAGGATATCACACTTAAAGAGTAACAGTAATATTTTTCTCCAAATTATCTTCCCCCAATCATTTTTTTTTCCAATTTTTTTTTATTATTTTCCATCATAAAAAAACAATCACAAGCATAATAAACACAATAACAAGTAAAAAAACCCCATCCCCCCCCCGGACTTCCCAAACCTAATCCCAGGATAATATTCATATATGAGTAAACAAATACTAATATCCCTAACTCCACAAAATATCTTAATCTACAAAAAAGATAGAAAGAATAAACNCAAGCGGGTCTGGCCTAGGGAATTTTAGCGGGGCTTTTTAGGGGATTTTTAAGGACAATTTTAATGATCGGCCTGTTTAAATATTTCTTTTTAATTCGGCTTTTAATTATTGTATTTGTATTGTAGTTTTTATGAGGCTGTTAGCCGCCCTGAGTCCCATGAGGAGAAGGGCGGGGTATAAATTAAATTAATAAATAAAATAAATAAATAAATTAGCAGAACTCCATGTGCTATACAGCAGAAGAGTTACCACTTTAGTTTTAAAAGGTTGAAGGGCTGCAGGCACATAATAGTTTCCCTTAGAGCTTGTGTATCTGGTTGCGTTTACTAAGAGGCACAATAATCCCTAATATTTGGATAATCAGCAATATCCAAGTTGAGTAGTCAAAGCTTTTATGAAAACCTAGATAACTATTTCCAGTTGCACACTTCCTAGAAGCTTCAGTCCTCAAACTTGACATTGTGCACATGCATACTGTCAATCACACAATAAGTGGATGGCAAAAGCAAAAACAAATCTGGCCATTTTAATAAAATACACCTGGAGACTGGAGAATTAAACAAAACTCAAGTGACCTAAGGCCACTTCTGCTGTCATGATAATTATCACAACAGTGTCATCCTTACCATTATATGAAATAGTGGTCCCTCATACAAATAATTATTTTTGTTACAAAAGCTAGCGAATTGCTTATTACATTTTTACTACAATTTTTTTTAGTGCTTCACTAAACTTTCTCCTTTTTGCTGCCATTTGTATCAATACTAATGGAAAATAAATGGATTTGTGGGGGGGTTGCTTTCCAAGGGAAATCCTGATAAATAAAGTATAGAGTGCTGTCACTTGATTTAGTTCCGTGTGAATAAGTAGTGCAAATGGGTGTCCTGTTTTGCAATATATAATTATCTCTACAGCAGTCTGCTACCTGGTGTTCAATTCCAAAGAAAGGCAGGTACCCAGGGAAATTGCAGGATGGTGGAGAGGTGCAGAACAGAAAAACAACATCAGGAACACCTGCCATCTCATGACAATAAAATAAGCTCAGATTGCAAAGCACTCGAATAAGAAGGTAGAAATCTGGATCTACTCAAAAAATATTGGGAAAATCATATTTCAATACAAATTTATCTGTTTTTATTCTAAAGGACAAATGGTTCTGGATTTTAAAAAAAAAAAGCTTGGCCACCCTTACTATTATGGAGCTTTATTGGGGAGAGGATCATTTTCTATTCCACCTCAGTCCAGTCTAGAGGGGTTTTGTCTTAATTATGTGACCATGTGTATTCCTGATCTCATGGTTAGCAACTACACCATCTTACAGGGGAATGATGCAGACCTGGACCATTTAATGCACATGTTCCAAGTGGCATCAGAACATGTACAGCTCCATTAGGTACAAGATTTCATATAATGATAATCGATTTTTAAGCTCCTAATCCCTAGTCACTTTCACACACACCCCTCAGAAAATTTATCATACTCCTTTTCCTTTCTTGTTTTCCCTGACTATATTCATCATTCAGAGGGTTTTCATGTATCAGTTGTTAATTCCATGTTTCATACCATTTTCCATATTATAGAAAATTCAGTCCAGCTGTCATGAAAGTATGCTGTGAATGAAAATAGAGTTGCTGTTGGATAAATAGTCCAACGTGCATATTGTTATCAGTACAAATGTTTAAATGAAACCAGTTCTAAAAATAAAAGGATTTTTTAAAATGTATGAGTTATTGAAACTAGAGTTAAGTATGCTGGCCCCAGCTCAGAATTCAAAAGTTATTTGGTGGCATATAAAATTCTGACCATAATCTCTGGAGAAGGATTGGAGGTGGTTATCCATGAAGGAGCCTTTGATCTAAGTTCAGAACTGTCGTGCTACCTCCTCACTTTCTTTAAAAGAGGTATCCATCCTAATGTAAAATTAAGACTTCCTGTAGCCTCTGAAGAATAACATTATCTCAGATGGTTTTACTGGATGTATTTAATCATTAATAGTTAACATCAGAAACGTTCTAAATATATGGCCCAAATTTCTTCTTCTTTATGACAATGCACTGAAGAAAAGCAAAGAAAAGCAAAGAAATAGCAAAGTAGAGCGCCTTAATCTAATTTAATTTCTTGGCAAGATTTTGGCAAAGTTTTTCAGAAGTGGTTTGCACTTGCCTGTTTCCTAGAGCTGAGAGAAAGTGACTGGCCCAAGGTCATCCAGCTAGTTTCATGCGTAAGGTGGGGATAGAACTCTCCTAGTTTCTAGCCTGGGATTCTTAATTACTACACCAAAACGGATCTCATATTAGTTTAGTAACTGCATATGTTCTGGCTCATACAAGATTCATGAATAAAAGAATGAGCACATCCTCCCGAACTATTAAGAGTTTTTCTGGTATTTGCATTCTTACCCATCCCAGCTTTAGGACCTCAGCTGTATCTCACTACCCTCTGTTTATTAGTTCTTCTATAAATGAATACAAGAATATGACAGTGAGCCAAACCATATGCATATTCAATTTTTAATGCAAGCTGTATATATTGGTGGACCATAAAACTAAAATATAATGACACCAAAGGCACAGAGAACTATGCAGTGGTGTTGAAATAAGAAATTACTTGCTTCCAGTTTTCATTTTCTGTTTAAATTTCTTTTCTAGCTCCTGTGTGAAGAATGGGCAAGTTATGGAGTATTTTATAAATATCAACCAATTGACCTAGTTAGGTAAGAAACAGTGATAACTCCTTTCTTGTCCTTCACTCTAAGAGCTTATGTGTTTGTATATGTGCATTAATAGTGGTAGCCTACAGCTTTTGGGTTGCAGTTGTAGCCTGCTACAGTACTCAGAAAGTTGTATCTTTCATAGAGCTAGTCATCGGTTTATGAAAAGTGGCCTTTGAAAAACAAATCCAAAGAAATAAACCATATTTAAGTTTAGAATAAAAATTCACATTACACAGGCCGTATTATAGTCCCCTGTTTTTCCCCAGATTTACAAGCAATGATCTTAAAACATTTGAACAATGCAGTTTTTTTTGTGGGGGTTGCTTGTTCAACAAATATACTAATATACTAAAATGCATGGACCTTAGTAGAAACAAAATCGGGTAAAAATAATTTCAAAGGGATATTATAAACCAATTCTAATATGAGTAGTTCTCATGTTTTCAGATCAATATGTGTCTAAATCTTTTTTCACCTATTTTTTGTGGTGGGTGCTTTTCCTTAAATCCCTTGCTATTAAATAATATTGTTTATTTACTTTGAACATTTTTTCTTGAGTTGCATTAAAAAGAGACTGCCATAGCACATGTACCAAGGCACTTGTGTAGGATACTTTAAATTTGGACCTTCAGAAAGTACTTAATAAACAGAACTGTTAAGTATTTCTTTTGGTGTAGGGATGAAACTATTAGCGAGATATTAAAGGATACTATGAACTGAAGAAGCTTGAAAACCTCTGCCTTAACAGTTTATTTTGAATCAAATCATTGGCCCATCTAGAACACTAAACTTGGCAATTTTAAGATGTGTGGATTTCATGCTGATGGGGAGATTCTGGAAGTTGAATTCCACACTTCCTAAAGTTGTCAAGTCTGAGAAATACTGATCTAGAATATTGTGGTCTGTACAAGCTCTCCTGAATTTAATCGTCTGTAAATGTATTGGGTCTTCTAGTCGCAAAATTCCAGAATAGTTTTCCCAACACAACTGGAAGGTACCAAGTTCAGGAAACCTAGTATACACTGAACAACAGGAAGTGTCTAAAATTGCAGATAGCTCTTTCCCAATGCCACGAAGAGATTCAATCTGGAATTTTTTGTCTGCAGATCTTTTGTTCTACTAATAAAGACCATGTGAAAGTTACTATTGATTTGCAGAAGCTCATGTAATAATGGATACACTAAACTACGCTCATGTAACACCACAGCTTTGCATGTGGCGCTAACTCCCGATAGGCTTCCAGGTACAATTCAAGGTGATGGCTACCACTTATAAAGCCACTCATGGCACTAGACCAGAAAGGTTGTTTATGGGATCATAAACCCAATATCCAATATCTTCCTGTCCCAAGTTTCACAAAGTGAGTGTGCTCCTGGTTCCCTTTATGAAACAGTGCCAAATACAACTATAGAAACAGAAAGATAAAGCTACTTAATAAGCAAGAGTGGATTACTTACTTGGTTTTTGAACTGGATCTGTTCCAAATGGCATGTGGACATGGATTCTCCAAGAGGAAATGCATTTTGGCTAATCAACAGGATTTATTTTCTCATTCAAAGTCAGCCCTGCTGTCTAATTCATAAATTTAGCCACGATACATTTGCCATGATACATTATATAGTGTTTTCCTCCTATAATTTATTTCAGGAAGTACTTTGGTGAAAAGATTGGACTATACTTTGCCTGGCTGGGAGTTTATACACAAATGCTCATTCCAGCTTCTATTGTGGGAATTATCGTGTTCCTTTATGGTTGTGCAACTGTTGATGAGAATATACCAAGGTAAAATATACATACACAATTATCTGTGCTTTGTACAAAGCCATCATTTTCACTTATGTTCAGTATGCTAAAAAGTATCCTAAATGATTTTGACTAAAGCTAATGATTTAGGTTCTGTAGCCATACTCTTATATATATCACAACTTACAATATTCATTTCTGAAATCAGGAAGTTATTGTTACATCCATGAGTGTTGCTTATAAATAATGAGAAGTTAATTGTCAGCATTTCCTCAGGATTCAGTTTTCTTGGTCACAGGGATTTAATGAAGTTTCTGAGATATAAGGCTGATTAATGCAAATAAGCACAATCAAAAACTAAATGGTTTATAACATAAATTTGCTCCAACAAATTCCCACTTCTCAGTATACTCAGAGCCACAAAATGACTTGGAGGGGGACAAGTGCTTCTTCTTAACTGTATGAAAACATGGACATTCACTGTATAGTTTACTGTATAGTGGATCTGTATGTACAGCCTCTCTGATTTATGAGATTTTAGTGTATAGAAATAGCACAGTCTGCCATTTTTTCCCAGAATTGTATTGATGTTTTTATGATGTAAATTACAAATGAAAATAAAGAAAATAGGAAAATGGGGAAGGGAAAGAAAGGGGAAAAAAGAAATATAAGGGAAAGTGGGGGGAAAGCATTGCTTTCCAACTCTTTTTAGCACAATAAAGCACAAAATACAATTACAGCTTCAGCTTTTTACTTTACCAATTTAACAAGTACTAGCCATTTCTATGATAAAGAATTATATTAATCAGCAAAACTCAAAGTCGAAAGTTCATTTTTTTCGGTCTTGAGTATAGAGTCCAGAAGTGGTTTCCAAGTAAAAACAAAACTGAACATATTCTTTTCTATAATTAAAATAATCAATTTTGCCATCTCTGCTAGCTCCACCATATTTTCTATCCATTCTTCTGTTGTCAGGACTGACATATCCCTAGTTGCCCATTTCATGTATAATTTAGTGTTGTGTCTTCAGTATGCTTAGTTGGCATCTATGAAGCCCAAAATGATCAACAATAAAAACCCACATATTGGCCATTTCTCTTTCCAAAAACTATTTGCATGATTATTTGTTGCAGTAAAGCTGCGTCATATGAAGTTATCCATTGCTGTTGCTCGGACTACATAAGGTAGCACAAGCCACCAGAATAGTCAAATAGCTTTTATGGGAAGGGAGATTGATAGGCAGGCAGGCAGGCAGGCAGGCAGGCAGGCAGGCAGGCAGGCAGGCAGGCAGACAGACAGACAGACAGACAGACAGATAGATAGATAGATAGATAGATAGATAGATAGATAGATAGATAGATAGATAGAGTAGGGAGGAAGGGAGGGGAGAGAGAGAGAGAGAGAGAGATTGCAGTTTCCTTGCAACATTTTCAGAAGTGGTTTGCCACTGCTTTTTTCCTCAGGCTAAGAGAGGTGACTGGCTCAGTCAGCTGGCTTTGCACCTGAGGCAAGCTCACTGGAAACCATCATGAAACTCTGTGATAAAAGTTACAAGCAAACTCTAGGCAGAAAGCCTTAAGAATGTTTTTCGTGTTTAACCTAGATTAAAAAAAGGAGTGGACGAAGTGCTTGCATTCCAGAATTATTGAAAAATATGTGGGGAAATATGTGGGGGAAAAGGAACTTTGTATCTTTCCCAATAAACAGTATTCAGGAATACATTATTTTAAATTATTTAATTTTACTGACTCCTACTGACTTACTCCCAAAGCGCAGAACAATATAGGTGAGGTTGTTCTATGATGTTCTGCTGTTACACCTTTTGAATTTTGTGAAAACCCTTGTAAGAATTACCTTAAAAGAAAAATGACAACCTGTGGTCATTGGGCCTAGTCTTTGCAGCCCCCAGAGACACCTATGACTGCTAATGTTGAAATGTGGTGTTACAATTCCTGATCATTGTGACACATGGAAACTGTGACATATGTCATGCAATAAGCTTAACATAAATTTAAAAAGTTTCTTCAAGGTCCCGTGCATCCCACCCAAAAACAAGTCCCACCTTGTTTGCGTAACTACCTAAAGCATTGTAGCCAAAAATGTTAACACAGCCATAAAGTATAAAATTCATAAAGTACGCAGTCATAAAAATGTCCTAAAATAATAATATATTAATGTAATAATCAGATAAATTTGGAGGAAATACATTAATGTGTTCAGTCCTGTACAGACTATGTCATCAACTAAAATTTCAGTCTGAGGCCTATATTCAATGTCACAAGAAGTTAAATTCATTAAAATAGAATTATACAACTCTGAAATATGCTTAATTAAAGACTCCCTTTGAAACAAGTTTTATTCCTGATGATTAATGGACATGTTCCATCTGATATTAACCAGATTTGGCCCTGCTAGGTTTTTTTAATGTTAATCATGATCAGATAAGTACCATCTGATAAGGAAAGTAGTATATAAATTCATTAAATAAATAAATTGTTGTAACTGGAAGTGATTTCATGGTGAAAACATCAATTGATGGATTGGATAAAAAAAGGCAGTGGACCTACCACTCAGATTTGTCTGGATAAATGACAATTTTTACTTACATTTTATTCATATTGTCTAAAACTTGTTACAAACCATGAGGTTTAGTTTGCTGATGACATAGATAATGTGCATGGCTCAATCCTCCTTATTTTAGACAATATACCTTGTTCAGACATGATGCTCAAAGAGAGAGGAATTCTGGATGAAAACTAAGACCAGCTAGCACTAAACATGAATAATACATATATAGTAATAATTTATGCTGGAAAGGAAAGAGAAGAGAAAGATCAAGGAGAATCCAGGAATGCATGATTCTGCAGCCTGCTTCAAATCACTCTGTCATGGTTGGATAGTGATCCTTTGATACAGTATTAGACCACTATATTTCTGTGATTAGAAGACTGGATTATATTTCAAAAGATCTGAGTAGACAGCCTTAGTGCACTGCACTATTGCAGTCTCGTGGAGTAATAGAGAATGAAAAACATAGCCCAAGTGATTATATCAATATAAAAGTACTCAGAAAGGCCACAGGGTTAAGTGCAGCAGAATGTACCAGAGTAATAAGCCCAAATGTTTAATCTGGTTTTTCCAGTTGTCAGGAATCCATGATGCCAGTTGGCTCCTGTCCTTTTGAATTTAACTTACATTTATATTGTGCATGCCATGCAGCTTACACTGTAATACAATGCATCTGAAATGGGGGGAAAGAGATAAGATTGAATAAATATGCTTAGCATCAAATCACATTCAGTGCATGTATTTCACAATTCAGTAGAAAGCAAAGGGACGGATATGTTCACCTTTCATTTACTGCTTGCTTTCCCTCAGCATGGAGATGTGTGACCAGAGAAACAACATCACCATGTGCCCCTTATGTGACAAAACATGTAGCTATTGGAAATTGAGCTCTGCTTGTGCCACTGCTCGGGCTAGCCATCTTTTTGATAATCCAGCCACTGTCTTCTTCTCAGTCTTCATGGCTCTCTGGGGTAAGAATGCTTATATAATTTTGGAGTATGCTTGGAGTTTTCATTTGACTTTGTGTTTAACTTTCCTTACATAGAGAACAAGTAGGACAATATGTCATCAGCAGTTAATTATCTGTACTGTCCCTTTTTGGTCTTTCTATTATAAAACTGTCACATTTACATTTATGTTCTGAACTGAAAGTTAAAATTCAGAAAGTTGCTTGAATGAATACAAAGAAGCATTTGGCACAAAAACTGCTTAAGGATTATATAGCATGTCAACAATATCTATTTGCAGACTTGGTCTTGATCTGATCAGAAGACTGATCATAGTTAAACTACTTAAGTGCATTAATGTTACCAGTAGGATACTGTTTATATCACTCAAGGTGCCATTTTTGAAGGCAACTCCTGTTCGTGAAGAACCTACATAATTCACATATTGAGATGCTGTAGCAATAGAAAACCATGCAAAATGATTTGTGGAAAACAACAATGAAAAACTTTAGTTTAAAAAAAAATAAAAGTTTTCTTCATTTATGAATTTCAGACACTTAAATTCTGGTAAAACGTCCTAGTATTTCAGCGGTGGATACCTGCATATGACTTAGATGTAAGAGGTGCTGGGATGTGGATGTTTGTACATAGTAAAGGGACATTCCAACTCTGTCCATGGCTACTCTGTCATGATGGTTATTTATTATTTCCAGCAACAAGTTGTATGGTTCTGCATACCAATTATTGGGGAGTAGGAGTCGGAAGGTTCTGCAGTATTTTCTGATTTTGTGCTTCTCATATTGATCTGATTGCTTTCCATAACAGTTGTACTAGGCCAGGGGTAGGCAACCTTGGCTCTTTTATGACTCAGGAATTCTGGGAGTTGAAGTCCACGAGTCCACGAATCATAAAAGAGCCAAGGTTGCCTACCCCTGTGCTAGGCCATCCTACACCATAACATGGGACTCTCCAGCTGTGTGTTGAGATTGAGTAGTGGCCATATTTGGAGGGGTTTCTGTGAATTGCAATCTCAACATGTCTGGAAGTTGCCAAATTGGAGGAAGAAGAGATAAAACTCTGGAGGACATGTTTAACGTAGTTCCTATGCAGAATACTTTCATATAACTATTTATGAATTTTGATTTGTATTACAGTTGTCCATGATGCTTGAAGACATGTTTGATAGCTGTATAATCTTTGCCTTTATGGTTGTGTTTTAGCCTGGTATCATCATATAAATATACAGAAAGTAGTTAATCCTTACAAAGAGAGAGAAGACAGTTCCGGTTGTTTTGAAGGAAGTAGGTTTGTGAAATTATTCCAAATGTTGTCTCTGGATTCTAAGTTTAATATTTCATCTAATATCAGTTGTAGTTAAATGTAGTCTCTCATTTGGGGCAAGATGCTTAAATCAGAAGGAAGATATCATCTCCAGATAGGCTTATGAATCCATTTCTGTCTTATTTTCAACTCTGGTTTTTTTTTTGAATTTTTAATTTTTGCTCCCCAAACCTTTCTCAATTTTTTTTTTACAGAGGGGCAGTGCAGACTGACTAAAGATAGCAAATGTAATTCTTAAGGGCCAGAAGAGGGAAATATGAGTGATACAATCAGGCAAATGTTCAGATACCAGAAGGTAGTTGACCAGCAGAAACACTGTAAAACAACTATTTTTTTCTGACCTTGCTCACCAGCAATTATATATACATTGAGCCTAGCTAATTATTGGATGTATTGAACTGAAATATTTCTTATGATCCCCCTCACCAAAAAACAGTACAGGAGGAAAATCTTTCTTCACATACTCTTTCCTTCTTATTGTGTGACAAAGTTTTCTCTTCTCCTTTGACAAATAGTTAAAACTGTGGGTGGACACAAGTCATGTTTTTTCTATTGCTGGAAAGTATCAGTCACAGGAAATGGTATAAGTCTGCAGAGGAGATTACTGGAAATTATTGCCCTCCCTTTTCTGAGGAAGGGACACCTATTCAAGATCACCCCTTATTTGTTTCTAATATAAATAAGGAGAGAGAGAGAGAAAGAGAGGGAGGGAGGGAGGAAGAAAAAGAGAAAGAGATTTCTCTTTAGATTCTTCACCTGATTACTGTTTTTCATAAATATTCATCTTTCAGAAAAAGACACTGTAAGATAATTGCTTACAGATGTAGGCATTTCAAAATCAAATGTGTCATTCAGGACTACTTTGGGCATGAGATTTTGCAAAACGTATATGTAAATCATAGGAGGGAAATTGGGCAAGCTTCTGTTTTACCATACAGAACCAACATCAATGCAGCTCTCTACAATTTTCCTTACCTCAGGAATTCTGGTATAAAGTTAGGCCAAGGGAGTAAGTTATAATTTCAGAAAAGGGAATCCACTGCAAAGAATTTCAGCAGAGTGACTCATACCGGCTCCTACATAGCTCATGGCAGAAATCCATGACTTCAAATTTGCACTAAGCTGATTGTGAGGATCAGAATCTATGCATAAAATCATTGTAGGAAGCACCATTGCCAAATATGGCATATTAAAGCTGAATTTATAAAAATGAAACAAGAAATACTTTTCTATAATATGCACTACAATTTCTACATAGGTGATCTTCACATATTACCCGAAGCACATGCCTTTCCTAAGAAAAGCATCACTGCATGTGAGGCAGCCTTCCTATGCTATTCATGGTCTCCTGTTTCATGTATTTATATATGTTATTAGTCATAGGTATGACTTGAAAAAAGGATGTTTCTGTAACATAGTTATAAGCTCCATTGTGTCCAAATACAATTCAGAAAAAGCTGCTGAAGCCTTGGAAGGCTACTACTACTCATCATATAGACAGTACTGATCCAGTCTGACTCATGCCAATTTACCCTGATGATATATAGTGGTTTATTATGTCATAAAACCATTGCTGTGGCTAAAAAGACCCTACTGATTACAGATATATTTGCATGGTAATAACTTGATGATGCTAAAAGACATTATAAATCTCATGAAAATGGACTTAATTCTAAATCTGGGAACAAATGTGAACAACATTTTGTGAATTTTTAATGCTGAAATTACCTTAGCACAGCCTGTCTCTGCCTTGTACTTTCCATAGTCTTTGGCCTATAATTACCCATTTTGGTCTATAATTACCCATTTTTTTCTATTAGAATTTTAGTACAGAAAGCCTTAGTGACAGTTCAGTAAAAGATTTCATTTTCTATAAATCACCATTTTCTATAAGTTGTAAAGCTAATCAAAGACATATACCCTAGTTGAGAGAATGGTGAGTGGATGTATCTGTAGATGTTTGTAATAGTGACAGATGAAAATTCAATGTGATTTAATATCTTTGCTATAGGGAACACCAGGGAAGCCCAAAAGGAAAAAAAAGATGAATCTGAAAAAGAAAACCTATGTCTCTTATTTAGATGATTTTTTTCTCATGTAGAGGAATTTATCACATTATGTGTAGTTGAAAAATATGATAAGGCAAAAGAGAATATCATGGCTTTAAATAGTCTCATTCCCCCAACCCAGCCCAGACAAACATTTATTCCTTTCCTTTAAACTTCTCCACATACTTTTTTCCTTCAGTATTTAAGTACGTGATGCAATTAAAAGAATAACCCTGCTGCCAAAATAGGTTAGTTTCTAGTTATTGCCTGAAATGATTTGGTAAGCTCCTTTTTCATAAATATGTATCAAAGCATTTTCCAAAATACATTATCCCATGGGCCAGGGAAATGCAATCTGCAATCACTACAGTCCCCTATTTCTTTTGTTAGTGGTCTCACTTCTTGGCATAGTCTAGTTCAGGGCTTTTCAATCTTTTCACCCATTGTACCACTTTTAGGAGATGGCAACATCCGAGTACCACCAGTCGCCAAGCAAGGTGTCAAAAACTTGATGACCAAAAAAAAAAAAGGAAAAAAGTGATAAAGTACAGGTAGTCCTCGACTTACAACAGTTAGCTTAGTGACTGTTCGAAGTTACAATGGCACTGAAAAAAGTACCCCCCAAGCCACAGCCGAGCAAGACACCTGTCTGCCCGCCCAGCTGCGCTCTTTCTCCTGTCCGAGGTTTTCATTGCTGTGAGCATTTCTGTTGAGGATTGGCAGCAGGGGTGGGGTGGGGGTGTTTGGTTTTTATTCCCCCCGTCGGGTGGGGTGGTTGCAGCAGGGTTTGGTCGCTTCACATGACCCTGGGACATTGTTTTCCATCATAAATATGAATCAGTTGCCAAGCATCTGAATGTAAATCACAAGACCCTGGAGGTGCTGCAACATTCCAGCTGATCAGCGCTTCTTCTGGGCTCAGCGGAAGCGCCAGGATCAGTGCTGCTTTCCAGCTAGAGCCTGGCGCTGATCCTGGCGCTTCCACTGAGCCCTGACAGCCCCAAAGAAGCACTGATCCTGACGCTTCCGCTGAGCCCTGACAGCCCTGCAGTTCCAGCTGTCTCTCACTCAGGCTTGTGTGTTGCTGCCACTGGTTCAGCTCATTCCCCTCCCCCGCTACCACTTTTCTAGGATGGTCGCGTACCACCTGCCAGGTGCCAATGTACCACAGGTGGTACCCATACCACTGGTTGAAAAGCCCTGGTCTAGTTCCAAGCCTAGAAATGTGTGGCTTCTATGTCTTCCAGAAGTCCTGGTCAGACTAGCCAGTGTTGTAAAAATCTAGGAAGTCAACTTGAGAATTCTGTTGGCTATAGGTTCCCCAATCTTAGTCCCTTTTAGTACAGCTATCAGAAGACCAAGATGGTTGAACAAATTTTGGATAAAACATCAACCAATATAAAATAAGAAGCTCCTGACCTTTAATAAATCCATAAAGTGAGAAAAAAGGCTCAGAAGGTGCAATTTGTTAATGTAGGCTACACTCATTGAAATTCCCTCGTCAACCCAATTATTAAGAATAGAATAAAACCTCTACATTATTCTCTGTTAGAGCTGGTCATCCATCATAGATCAAGGATCCATTCCAAATCTGGTTGTTGGATGAATTCAGATATTATATCAAGCTAATAAAGA